TGTTGAAGATCATGTCTAAGCATCGCGGAAGAAGTCCTCCGTCTCCAGGAGAACCTGTCATTGTGTGCGTTTTCCCACTACCCGTCACACCATAGGTAAAAAGGAGACCTGGAAACAGAATTGATACAGATCAGGATGTTGTGTTAACTAACAGCTGAAGCTGGAGGTCTTTTCATTTAATCCTACCCAATAAAGACAGGGCTTTGAAAAACAAGCCTCATTCTGACTGCTCAACATGAGGAACAGATGATTACAGATACCATTCTGAAGGGCTGAAGCACATAGTAAAGTTGCCCAGTACAAGACTAGCTCATACTAGCAGCCAGAACTCAGACTCAAGGCACCCTAGTTGAGAATCAAAAGGTATATTTTTTATTTATATGCACACACACACACACACACACACACACACACACACACACACTGCAAAAGCCTCCGCCTACCCCAGAAAAGACCCTTCAAAGCTGGCAGGGAAGAAAGAAAAATCAGATACAGGATTCAATACAGAAACAGCAATAATTTAAAAATCTGAGCTTTTTTTGCCTTGTCACAAAGAAGTTGTTCCCATCTTCATTAAACAACAACAGAAAAAAAAAAACCCACACACAGATCTTTTGGAACAATTTTTTTTAAAAGAATATCTTGTTCAATGGCGACACGTAGGGGGTGAATGAGGGTACACATGCATCCCACGAAAGAAGCACCGCTAATGCTGCTGGTGGTGCCTGTGGGTGGTCGTTGTCCCCCCCCCCAACAGAAAACTAAAAAAGTCTGGCCTTGAGGAGATGGACAGAATTTGGAAGAGTGCCAGCACAGGCACAGCAGAGCTGAAGAACAAATTACAAATCAGCACCAAAGTTTTGCAGAGTCCTAACAGTAATACAAAAGTGCAGAGAAGTGTTTTAGCTAACAGAACACCACAACAGAACATTAAATGCACAAATAGCTGCATACCATTTTTCCCACGAATAAGGTCTTCCACCAGAGGTTTCGCCACAACATCAAAGAGCTGTTTCTGAGTGACAAGGGTGCCAAATACTTCCTTAAATGTATACTGTGTCTGCAGAGGAAGAGACACTGCTGTAAGCTTGGAATTTGTCTTAAAAAGTCCGCTGCTTCCAAAAGGCAATTTCTCTTCCGAAAGAAAATTTGTCACTAAACTGGCAGAAGGACCAGTCAGTTCTTTTGTAGCATACCCATTTGGTTCAGTTCATTTATTCTGAGACGCAGCTCAGATTTGCATACTGAAGAGTCAGCACTTCCCTCAAATTTCATAATTAAGCCCAGAAGAAAGTACCAAGATCACCTTTTGACCCTGTATTACACAACCAGGAGAAAATCACCCACTGATTCGGAGGGATCAAGCCCAAGATTTCTGGCTGAGCTCCAACAGATCACATAGAAAGACATCCAGTTATGTCCTTCCAACCCTTGTTATACCTTTCCCCACTAACTTAAGAGCGTTTCATTGCCAGAAACCTCTTCCCCATATAGGCAGGGTGACCATATGTCCTAGTTTGGCCAGGACAGTCCCAGATTTCATAGGCTTTCCATTTTCGCCTGCTGGCAGGACAAATGGAAATAAAGTCTCAGATTGGCACCACCCCACCTGGATCCTCCCTAGTAGCGGTTGGAGGCAGGGGGCAGGCTGGGCTGGGCACTGTTTCTCCTATCTGGGGAGGGGCCAAGCTCCCAGATTTCCATAAAAATAATATGGCGACCCTACATATAAGCATATCAGTTGCCCTCAACTTTTCTAGACTTATGGCATCACTTGAAAAATTTCCACTCTTACTTTCTGCTCAGTGTTTTACTACAACCCCCCCCCCCCAAAAAAAACCCAACCCCAACAGAACAAAACAAAAGCCACTAGAGCAATTCCCTAATTACGAAGAACTCAGAAAAACCAAAACAGGTCAGAATGTTTTGAAATCTCTGGGTTTATCTTGTGAATCATATTTACACACCTAAAAGTGCTAACCTTGTGTGATACCCTTGGAAGAATCTCGAGGCACACCAGGGTGGATGAGAATTACTGAAGTTTGCATTTGATGCCAGGATGTCAAGCCTTAAACCCAAGGATGTTTTCCAAAGATTGGATCACACCCCTCTCTTTTCTACGCCCTTTCCAGACTGTAGCTTTTTTGACATGTTGACATTAGCCAGATTCCGAATTTCAGTAAGTCTCCATAGAATCGCAGAGAACCCTAGGGAAATCAGGCTAGAAGGGACCTCCAGAGGTCATCTAGTCCAACTTCCCCCCCAGTGCAGGATCACGTCTATCCAAACCACCCTACACAAATGCACTGTCTAACCTATTAGCAAAACTACACAGTTAAACCTGACAAAACCACAAGACACAACACCCTAACCAGCCCCAAGTAAAGCAGTGGGACCACAGTAGCACTATGTTGGCCACTGCAGGGTTGTTATAACGTTTGAGATCCATAGAAGAAGGTTATCCCCCCCACCCTTACAATTAAGCAAACCCCCCTGACCAGAGGGTAACATTCCTTCCTAACCCCAAATATGGCAAATCAGTCTGATCCTGAGCAGAGGAACAACACCCTATAGCTAAGAAAATCTGGGTTTTAATCTCAGCAGGAGAATCAGCACAACCCAGTCAAAAT